AGATAATTAAAAAATTTTTAATTTACGCTATCACGTAACGCACGACAAATTATTATTCCAATTTTACAAATATAAAACACAAATGTTCCATAGTCTTATGACGTACGTAAAGAACTGATTCAATGAACAGAAGAGTTCCGAAAAAAAAGTAGAGTGAAAATGATCGAAGAATAGTATTCTTCAGTAAATCTGGACGGTAAGAAAGGAAACGAGTGTCAACCGTTCGCCAGACGTGTTACAGAACGGTCCAACGAATTCTGCGTCGAAGAAGCGAAACAAAAAGGCAGGAGAGAACCGAGATATGGATAAAGGGAAAGAAAGAACCATGTTCGTTCTCCCTTTCAGGGAGAACTAGAGTTGTGGAAATGAAACGGGCGTCGGAAAAAGGAGACTCGTATTTCGAGCGAGTGTACAAGACGCGCCCTGGACTCTCGTTGCCGTTTATTGCCAACTTCTATGGTCCCGTCCAGGAAAAGGAAAGGAAGAGAAACGGAGGAAAGTAAAGAAACAAGGTGCCGTGCGTTACGTGTATCTCCGCTTACGTGTCCTGATCGTTTACAATACTCTCATCGTCGTGAAAATCAAGTTAAATTATTTCACTTTCTTCTCGCTAATGTGCGTTAATTAGAAACCGCGCGATGCAGTGTTAACGAAAGGAAAGACCCGTCTTCTTTTAATCTAAGTCAAAAGGATAGAATAGGCGACGGAAGGAAAATCGAAGGAGGACCAAGGAGAAGAAGCGCACTTGCGGATACTCCGTGATTCAACGAGCAATTATCCGCACGCGTGACCAAAGAAACTTCTGTCCTTTATATGCGCTCGAAGAATCCCATTGAATTCATCGAAACAGTTCAAGTCGTCCATTCCGGAGTTCCACGTGCTCGGAACGACCTTAATGGTCGCAAACATTTCAGTTCAGAAGCCGAACCCCATAGGGAACTCCTGTTTCGATTTACGCCGAGGAAAGTTCGGAAAGTAGCATCGCGGTTGCGTGTCGGAAGCACACGCTCTGTATCAGACGCATATATTGTCCCCAAACGTGTTGAAAGACCTGATGAGACGTCGTAACGAGATCTCGCGGTTTGATCACCAAGGAGCAGTTCCCGATAGTAGCGATCGCCTTTCCGAATCTGCAGAAATCCTCTCCGTCTCGAACTATGCACGCACACGGATGCATCTAGTACGCGTAATGTCGTACGTAAACGAGAAACGCGCAGCCGACGAAGAATGCGCTAAGCAAAAATGCGAATACAACGTTGACCACACTAATTGAACGCGAAACAGGAAGGAAAGGATTGAAAGCAGGAAAGAAGAAATAAAAAAAAGGACGTATCGGCGGACTGAGAGCGAGCGTGGCAGAATCTTGGAGTCGTTGAGAATATCATTCGACGAGAGATTTAAAAAGTCAAGAAGAACGGAGATCGATAAGCTACATGATTCGAAAAAAAAGCAATCGGAGCTTTATAGTTAATCTCCCTTCTTCTCGATCGTTCAGATACCTATTCTGCTTCATATAGATATACATGATACATATATGTATATGCGTACACATATATTTGTATGTGGATATTGGATAATCGAGCCGCTTTCGAAAACACGAGTTATTCCGAACGGAGCACAATAGAGTCATCGAAATTCCTTTACGCACGTCTACACAATTCTTCTGCACACATACATCTACGTATTTATATGTATCTGTGTCTGTGTGTATATATAACCATCAAGCCTGTCCTCTCTAACACGCATACCTTTTTTTATCACACGTACACGTTCACTTCTTTGTTTGAAGAAAAATAACGAATATGTATAATATATATATATCTTTGTTTGTGTGTGTGTGTGTGTGTGTGTGTGTTTAAATACAGAGAACGGAGCCTTCGAACTCGTCGCGCCGATTCGGTACCTGCAGATAGGAGCGCTAGGATTTCGACGCTACCAATTTTCTTCGGGAAGGAACAGACTTTTCCGAAGATCGAACGAACGACTCCAACTCTGGCTAAATAAAATTGATCCGCAGTGTGCGCGACGTGTCTGAAAGCTCCAATCGTGCGCGATCGTGATCTTAGATTTTACGCCAAGACACAAATGGGGAGAGCGTTTTAACGTCGCGACGGTTGGGTGTGTAATCGTTGAAGCATTCGTACATGACTTTGTTCCTTCTTCACCCCCTCCCCCTCCCATTGCCATCTTGCGATCAATACCAGACACCTTGAGTTTCGGATTTTCAAGCATCCGCCTCGACTTTCCTCGACGACGGCGGTGGTTCCATTGACATCGTCTCGCATTCTACTACTACATATTAGCCCGGAATCATGTACTCGCAACGAGATTGTGACGGCGATTTTCAGACACGATGCTCGTAAAACGAAAGGAGTAGTCTTACGTACATCGCAGGTACTTCGCGCGAAAGTACGTTCGTTTATTCGCCGACGATCGTGCGTCGAGCGCTCGATAAACGATCGTCGGCTCGATCAGGATGAAAAGCAAAAATTAGGCTTCTCCGTGGGGACAGACGACGCTTTCGTCGATTCTATAACTGTAATAAGCGTATTTCGAAGAATTCGGCCAAAGTGAAAACGATACTTTCTCGTATCTGCATCGACGATCCTACTCGACTCGTCTTCTTGCATCGCGCATAAATTCGTTTAGATTTTAATTCCTCGGGGAGAAAAGTCAACGTGAGATTCGATTTTAGTTCCGCGAGAATATGCTCGTGAGCACGGTCCAAACGAATCGTCCAGAGTTCGAAGAAATGTGCAGAATACGAGAATCCGCATGGTAACAACTAATAATAATAATTAGGAGTTTTCGGGGCGATATTGTCATGAAGAGTCCTGTTCATATCGTATCGCCTATGTAAACAGACTACATTCACGGACCAACGATCGACGGAGTGAAAATCTTGTACAATACCATTCTCATTCGACAAGGACAATTCTAAGATGTTAATCGATCATGTCCCGAGTTCAGTTTCACATATTGGGTAGGAATCGATCATAAATTGGACGTGAGTAGTAATAATTGATAACGCACGCTCCTTGTGAAAGAGACTTTCATTGCTTAGACGCGCGATTGGATATCGAATGCGTGAAATTTTCACTCTATCTCGGAACGGAGAATCGTTGTCTGTCGCGACCTGTACTACCTTCGTCGTTGCTTTCGGATCTCGTTCTTCTTGTTTCCTTTAACAATGACACGACAGATGATACGTTTTTGTGCGCTCGATACTCGCGAAGCACCTTTTTCTTTACACAGTGGAAGCGTAATGCGTTTTACGTTAAAACGACCACATATAGACGTTAACGACAGTAGCCCTTACGTGCCTACGTGCTTTAAGAAGACTATTCAGAAGACTGCGCCACGGTAGTATCTACACCAGTTTCAAGCTCTAAGAACAACCATGGCGTGTTCCCTAGTAATAAAATTTTTAAGGAATTAAAAACAGAAACATTGCGCTCTTCTAACGGGCGAAAGACTCAACGATTCGACAACCGATCTCGATAAAAAGTGGTAACAGACTAGCCGAAACGAAACTCAATCTTCCTTTTCTTTAGCCAACCGCTTTGTGAACGAACGATCAAACAACAAACGGACTTATCCGAAATCTTTTCGAAACTTAAAATCTCTACATACTGAAATCAACAGTAACGGTTTCAGTATGAGGGATGTATAACGCTAACGTGTATGTGTGGGTGTTCTCCTTGTGAGCACGCGAATTATCGACCGTAAGTCTTGGAAAACGTTTGATAGTGTTCTACTTGCTACAAATAAACATAAATAAGAAAACAGATAAGTGTACAGAGAAATAAAAGCATCGAATAATTAAGTAGTTGGTCGACGAATTTATCTCATCTAGTTTAATTAATATTTGCTAAGATAATGAATTGCGAGGTATTAAACTGATAATTTTCAAGGGTGTAATAAGTAAAGTAAAAGAGATAGATATATGACATCAAAGGTACAAATATAAAACATCAGAGTAAGAGTTTTGAAATATGTGCACAGCTTGGGTCGTGGTTCGAACTGATCGTGTTACTTTTTCCTCGATTAACATGTTTAATCATGTTCGATGATCGATGATCAATGTTAATCGAAATATATTATTTAAATCATGTAGATTCATTACTATTGTCATGTTTTGTCCTCATAGGGGACACCTTCCATGACCGAAACATTTGCTAATGAGTAATAGTGGCTAAAAAAGTCTGGAAAAATTCATGTAGTATCTTGAAACATCCTAAATTAGAAGTATCAAAATGATTTTAACAAAAATTTCTTTAAATATATTATACTATAAATAGTATAAAGCAAATTACGTGAATTGCAAAAATCGTTCGGAGTTGCCCGGAATGACATCGATATACGGTTTAAGGATTAAAATTGTTTTATATTTGTACTTTTAACTTCATATTCCTACCTTTCCCTCTGATATTTATGAAATAATTAGAAAAATTGTTCTTCGATCAAGTACATGAGATTGCTAGGAAATCAATATTCCCGAGAATCACTACGGAGCATAAAAATAAGGTTCTACTACATACAGAATAGATAATATTGATGTTGAAAAACAAAGTAATGAACACAAGGACGAATCATACAAATAAAGATAAAAGGTTTCTATTGTATGATTTGATCGATAATTTACGTTTACGCTTTCTCACAATACACTCGACGATTCAAGAGGACGAGGTATAACAGCCAAAGAACTGCTTCGGAGAGAAAACCATTTGTTCGAAGGGTCATGGTGGATGTTCGCAGACGCCTCAAACTCAAGGAAAAGGACTAACATATCAACGTTAAAAACGGAGAAAGAGCCACTCTAGGATCCGGTTCGCATAGTCGAGCAAAACATGTTGTGTTCGTAACAGTTCTATATCCTAATCGGTATAAAAATCGATCAACCGTAAAACGAAGAATCTCTCACGCCAGTCCTAGAATTCGAAAAAAAGCTTTTCCGAATCATGCAGGATGAGCGTGAAAAAAGAACAACGCGTGAAACGCGGTACACGAACATTTAAAAGAGTCGGTTTCGCTAATCGATCATTCTAAAACGAACCCAACACAAACATATGGATTCTGCGAGTCGAAGCTGGAGAAAAATACGAGGAGAAATAAAACAACGAGGAACATAACGGTTTGAAAAAAGAATGAGCCGTGCGTCTTTTTCCGAATTTCCCGGCTTAATCCTAATGGTTACTTGGATAAAAGTCACGCGCGGCCTGATGACATAAATTTGACGCGAAACGATTCGATTTGATGATACGATTACTTCCCATTAAAAGAAATTACTATAGCCTGAAGCTTGTACGTGACTGTGTGCAACATATTCCTGTCTACTCATGCGAAACATATTCTCGTATCGTTAGGTGAAATTTAGTGCTTGAAAAATGTTGGTGAATTCGAACGATTAGGCGAGAAAGAGAAACAAGCTTCAATTTATATTAGCTACTGAACAATATTATCGAATACTGGAGACTGTTTGAACAACGATAATTCTGACTGTTCGGTGACTGGAATATCGGCCGAGATATGAAACTGTCGGGAATTTGACAAGTTCTGCCGCTGACTGAGTGAAAATTAAAAGAGCACGATGAGGTTTTTAATTAAATGTGAAGTTAAAAAAGCACGGTTAAAAATGCAAATCTTTTGGTAAAAAGTATCTTCACTTCCCACTCTTTTTATTCATGACGCGCGACCTCGAAATTTCTAGTTCCAACGTTTTACTCGAACAATTCTTCCCAACCCCTTCCGATTATTGGGCATTCGAGTCTAACGCGAGAACGCACGAAAGAAAAACGGACAACCTAAATCTAGACGCTATAGCGGTATATTAAAAACAGAAAGGGATGAGCATAAAGAATAGAGAAACTAAAAGAGGGACACTGGACGACAGGAAAATAAAACGAAATCGTAATAAATCTTAAGAAAAAAAAACCGTCTGCTCAGTCCAACGAGTACAGAAATATCCGTACATACATAAATAAGTACTCGTGTATATAAATGTCTTCTATGCGCGTGCATGTGTGTATGTCTGACATACGTGTTCGCGCTTGGTCGCGTTTATGTATGTATATGTGTGTATAATAAAGGAGTCTCTCTGCGTGAAAAGAATTACTCTAAGTAAAAAAAATTGATACCCAAATAAAGAAAATTGGCAGGCCCTATGTGTGTTCATGTATTATTTAGCATCGACAAAATATAGGCGCGTGTTAAATCCTATCGGACGAATATCGACGGTAGTAATTGTAACCTTGGTAACGACTCTTGTATATAAAACTAACAGTAATAACAGATTATTACGAAATACACACTATCAAATATGTCGAATGTCATTCAAGAAGTTACTGCATCATCGCATTTGCATTTACACTGTTTAGTCAAAATCTAGGAACGTATTATAACGACGTGAAAAACCATAAGTAGGCCATCCCTTTAAATGAGAAGGAATTGTAACTTCATCGGCACTTTGCAAGGTAATATCAAAGAATGTTTTGATAAGAAATAAAAGGAATCGTGTGCCAATGATTTTGCAGAAAAATGCAGACATATTATGGACGGAAAGGAAAATTACAGTTCCATATAAAGACAATAGTAACATTAAAAGAGTTTATCTAACTGACGATATAGCAGACGACACAAACTTCCTGATTGACCCAATAATGTATATACATGTATAAGAGCTACAATTTGGTTTCCTCTTTTCCTTCACATAATTCAAGTCCCTTACATGAATCCGCATTTCGACAACTAGCTATCGCGAGTATTCTATGTAAACAGAAGTCAGTGAAATAATCCTGATGAGGTTGAAACCTGACGAGGTGCCTGGTTAACTCTTCTCGAACTTTCAATTCGTTTCATTCCTTTCATCATTTTACTAACAAAAGGATACAAACCCGTGATTGTCAATGAAAGCAGTAATAAACTTGAGCTCTCGTTAAGAAGAAAAACAGAGAGAAAGTTATTATCGTGTTGGTTCACGCAACAGTCTATAAAATCTGTAAAAAGTATGAAGAACAAAGGGGCATCGTTTTTCGAACGAACCGATAAAAACACGGGGTTAGAACAAGAATTTAAATGCGACTAAACATTCGTAACAGTAACGCGTAACTTCGTTTAGTTTTCCATTTTTCGCGGATTAATGATCCGCACGTATACTTTTCCATCTTTTACGTCGGTCCTATTGAAAAATGAAATATGAGAAATATCCGGAAGAAAAGATATTCTATCGTAGAATTCTGTGGCGAAAATGTAAATCGCGTTGCTTTTGTGGAGGTTTCTAAGCTTCTATAGCCTGATAGACAGTCTTCGATAAGAGGAATGCACTTCAGGAAAAAAATAAAATATAAAATTAATATTTTCACGTAAAGCGGTATGCTCGGGTAATTTAATTACTCTGTTGATTACTCTTTAGAAACCTCTGGAAGCTTTACGACAGAGTGAAAAAAAATATATATATATGAACGTATGTAGATGTGTATATATACCAAACATATATATACATATGTTTGATTGGATTATCAGCTTAACTTCGCGTGGAACAACTTACTAGACCTACCTAATATCATGTTTCACTACTTATTTAAATTATTAGCGGCTTGCCGATGAGACCAGAAATAAGACTCGTCGCTTCGCTGCTGTCAGTCGACGCTTCACAGCGCGTGTCATGTAGCTATACTCAACGATCATTTCCCGTGGTAGTATCGTTCATCGTCGATGGTCATACCATTACCATGTCCTCATCGACAATCGTGGGAAATGCATTGTCTGCGGAACTTTGCCTTTGAATAGGCTTCTTCCTTACGAGTCCGTCTATTAACAGAAATATGAACCAAAAAGAACGTAACGAGAATTAAAAGAAAATGATAGATGTTTTAGCTTTTGTAACATTTTAATTTTTAATG